GTGTGGAACATTTAAAAAAGTAACACTGAAGAAGTGACGTTTACTGTACTTCTAAGCAAGTTAGGATTTTCTGCTTTTCACCACGTGAAAAAGCATCTCATCTTCCATCCGAATCAACCAAAAAGTGAAAATTGATTTTTTGACACCTAAGCCCCCTTTCCGTAGACCAGGTCACATATGAAGTCAGCATTAACATCATTGATGACAGTTAAGTCTCAGACAAGTTCTAATATCAGAAAGTACTTTTTGTGAAAATCTCTGATTGCAGGTTTTGAATATAAGCCCTCAATATATTGGATTTTGGTCCTCTCTGCCAGAACATTGTAATTTGTTTGTGTTGTATAGTGTAATCAAACATTTCAAAGGTTTCTTATCAAATTTATGGTTAATTGAAAGGAACTAAGCGAAGTAACTAATTGTTAGTGGCAATGAATACACAAATAAACGAAAACAAATGATTTTATTTACTATTTTATGCGAATCAAATAAAATCCATATCTTATCAATTTAGTCGTACCTACATACATACATATATATGTATACTCTAGCATACACCTCGATATTTAGATTTTTTATTATTTTCATTTTGCATTTATTATATTTACGTATGTAGCTGTTGTAGCATCTTGCTCTATGAAAAACTTTCTGAAATACATTTCGATTGACATAAATTTGTATTAAAATGTTTTTGTTAAGGTACGTAGGTACATATCTACCAGATACAAGTGGTTGCCCGATTTCAAAATTTTTTTGGAATAAAGTGTTTTCAAAAGCATTTCGTTTCGCATCCACCTTGAACTAGCAGATTGATCAGGGATGTCATGGAAGATATCCCGTTCACATTAGAGCGTTGGTGCGCACAAACATGCCCGCCTGAAAAGCTTTGTCAGGCACTAGAGAAAAGAGGAGTACAAGAACCTGTTCGCAGGTGGATAGAAGTCCACAAGTCTTTGCAAATAGAAACTACGAAAGGATGCCCACAAGGGGGCGTCTTATCACTCCTCCTTTGGAGCCTAGTAGTAGATGGACTCTTGCAAATGCTATCATCTGGAATCCGATGCCAAGGCTACGCGGATGACATCGTCATAGTAGCAAGAGGGAAGTTCGAGAACACCCTCTGTGACATATGTATGTAGTCCAAAGGGCCCTAAAAATAACAAAGAAAGGGTGTGTGGATAAAGGTCTTAAAAATTAACCAAACAAAAACAGCAATTATCCCATTGACAAGGAGAAGAACCCTACCGGGAATGAGAACTATAACTCTCGATGGCACGAAAGTCGGCGTCGTCTCGGAAGTGAGATACTTTGGCGCTCGACGCTAAACTCTCATGGAAGGAACACGTCGATGTGACGATATCCAGAGCTGTAAAAGCGCTAATGGTATGCAAACGTCTGGCGGGAAATCGGATTCTCAGATCGATGTATATCATCCTCATGGCTCGAGAGCCAACCTAGAGACTGTGAGGCGTTCAATCACAAAACTGCAACGACTTGCGTGTGTGTGCATCACCGGCGCGATGTGTACCTGTTCAGCAGCAAGCATTGGAGGTTATTCTCGAGCTCACGGCACAGCACATTAGCCAAACGATCCCTAATGAATTTCACCAGGGAGGATTTTGGAAGAGGAAAAGTGGTATCATTTCGAAATATGGAATCTCTCAGGACCCAACTACCTCGACACAACTCCCACCGGATGATATCTGCAGAATCATTAGTTTTGAAAGAAAATTCAAAGTAGAACTGGGGAATAAGGCAAGAGTTGGAATGACATAAATTTAAATAAATACTTCCATCTGCGCCCCCTTATTTGGTACACAGACGGCTCAAAAACACCCGAAGGCATCGGAGCTGGAATCTTTGGGCCAAGAATAAGGGTCTCAGGTCCGATGGGCAGTCTGCCTAGCATATTCCAGGCGGAGGTTCACGCCATTAGTCTGTGTGCAGAGATCAATCTTCAGCGAAAGTACCGTTATGAATATATATTAATATTAAGCAACTAATGAAATCAAGTCTGCAATGGTTCTTGAGTGCGCCGAGAGGCTAAACGCCCTCTGGAATGTGACGCCGTAGCTAGGAGACGGGAGAAATACCTCGGGTCATTATGCCTGCAGCCGAACCACATACACTCGATGTCACCAAATAATGTTTTGGACTTCCTACGGTAACTAGGACTGAGCGAGGTGTTGCAAGGAGGAAGAGGGCACAATAGATCTCCTGGTCGCAGTGCATACCTCAACCAATATCTGGGAATAATATCATTAACAAAATAACAAGTGCGCAAGTTTTGATTTAAAGAAAATTACAGCTATAAAGATTAAGGCATTTATTGCTACATTTAAATATTCTAAGCGATAGATTTGATATCTCATTCGATTTATTTAGCTTATGTTCTTTGATTGAAAGGTAATAAAACGTTTTTTATAAAAAATATGAATGCAATTTTTATACGCACATATATTACTCAGCACTTAAAGATACGAGACCCATACACTCTAGGTCACTGTAATAGCTGCAGTTGATTATTAAAAGAAATAATCGTTTTATTTCATTAGTGGTAAACTTTAATGGAATATTTTATATATTTATTTAAGAGAGAAACAACTATAAATAGTTATTACACTGAACAGTGCAGCAGTCGGCGCACTTAAAGGAACAATCGATGGCGATCGCGGCGATGGATGCTAATCCAAACGGGCAAAGTGTTGAGCCAAATCTTGATACCATTGCAATGGACGAAAGGGTCGTTGGGCCAAACAACCCGCAATGAAATCGAGACGTTGATATGGTCAACTCGGTCTCTTGGCGATGACGCAAAGACAAACATGGACCAAGAGCATCATCTACTCTTGTCTCAACATGAAAAGGCAATTGCGCCCGAAACATTCCAAAAACGTCAGCGAGTCGGGAAGGAACGCCTGTACTCGACAAATTCCCATGCATACAATACTTACAATTAGAGCTGGGGACCAACCGAATATCCGTTCGTACATTCGTGTATACGGATAAAAGCCAGACATCTGGCTAGTATCATTTTCTTTTGTTATCCGGATGTCCGGTTAGTGGATAATGGATAATGGGATTTTTAATCAGATATTCAATATATGTAAGCAATAAAATAATAATAATGCAAACAAGTAAGAAAGTCTAAGTTCGGGCGGAGCCGAACATTAAATACCCGGCGCAAGTATTATATATATGTTTTCCACCTTTCCGAAATCTACCGCTACATGATAAGCGGGTGTATAAATATTAAGTAAACTAGCATCCTTAAATTTCGAAATATTGAAATTTCAAGCATTTATGAAATTTACCGTTATATGAAAAGCGGCCTCAATGTTAGTCCGATTTCAACAATTTTCAACAGTTTGCTTTTATGTGGCAAGCACAATAACCATACCGAGTTTGGTACAAATTGCTAAAACGGTTAACGATATACATATATGTGATCATAAGTGGGCGGTGCCACGCCCATTTTCTAAAATTTTATCATAAGCGTATTTCCTGATAAAGAATTGTTGCAACCATCAATTTTGAATAAATTAGCTTTAATATTTACTGATTTATCGAGGATTTCGTATTTCTCGAAATTACCGTTATATGGGATGTGGGCGTGGTTATTGACCGATTTTAAAAATTTTCGGCCATTTGGTATGCTGTACCAGGGTCAAAACCTGTGCCAAGTTTGGAAGAAATTGGTGCAGCGGTTACCAAAATATACACATGTAACTATAAGTGGGCGTGGCTACGCCCATTTTTCAAAAATTTTTAATATTCTTATTTCTCGTCTAAAACTTATTCTAAATGTCAATTTTGAGTGAATTATCTTCAGTAGTTACTAAAATATCGCAGTTTTCGTATTTCTGAAAATTACCGTTATATGGGAGGTAGGCGTGGTTATTGTCCGATTTCGCCCATTTTCAATACCATCCGTCCTACGCCCAAAAGAAGTGCATGTACGAAGCTTCGTTAAGATATCTCAATTTTTACTCGAGTTATCGTGTGCACAGACGGACAGACGGACGGACGGACGGACAGACAGTCACCGCTTAATCGATTTCTCTTTTCATTCTGATCATTTATGTATACATTTGTCTATATCTATCTCGATTCGTTTTGCCTGTTACAAACAACCGTTATGTGAACAAAGTTCTAATACCCTTGTGCACAAGTGTGCTCGGGTATAAAAATGGAACAGGCAGCCATATCTTCTGAATCTTATTAGCGAAATTTTATGTGATTTGAAGATTGGAAATTAATTTAAAGCTAAATAAAAACACACAAAGTATAAACAAATACAAGTGTATAAAACAAACGAAATCTATTTTCGCCTTAGAATGGAAAATTTCATTCACGTCTCAGGCCCAATGCTTCATAACAAAACAAAACATCCGCATGTGCAATTATTCACATAGAATTTATACAAATATTACTTATGTAAATAATCGTTTAGGCACACGCGCATGCATAAGCAGCGTGTTGGAATGATTACAACTGATCATACAATCATTCGAATTAGAATTAGTATAACCTAAGGGATGCACGGGGAGAGCGAGAGAAGCGAATTACATACATATATCATATTTTTGTTATTTGCAAAAACTTTCTTTAAATTAATTTCAAATGCATTCTTAAATAACTTTACGATTAATATCAGCTAATTAAAAATCTCGGAAATTTTAATTTTGTTGCACAGGCCGAAAAAGGTGGCATTCTTATCAGACAATCCTAACCTTTGCACCGCGAAGAAAGGGCAGTCGGTGGCGTTTGGCGACGCAGGCATCATGCAGTGTTCACATGAAATTTCAAGTTTACTGATAAGCTATTCAAGTGAAATTTGAACTATTGCTTAATTAATAATCTTAAATATTTTTACAAAACAAAAAACTACAGGGGCGCCATTGGGGCGTTCTTCACTCTTCAAGTGACACACACACACACACAGTTCATCGACACTCTTTTATCTATAACAAACAAACTCCTTCCTTCACAGCAAAACTTACACATAAATTCATCAGTCTCGTGCATCTGCTGTTGCTGCGACGATGAGGACCCTTTACTGCTTTCCGCACTTTGAACTGCGATGCGATCCAAGACATCCGCCCAATGTTGTGTTCTTTTGTCCGCCACGCATGCTGACTCATTGTTGCCATTCAAACTATTCAAACGCTTGTTTTTACTATCAGCATCATGCTCAGTGGTCGAATTATCTTGCTCACTATGACTCGTGCCATTGATGGCGCAGTCAGAAGATTCAGATTGTTGCTGTTGCTGTTTTTGTTGTTGCTTTGCTGCTGAAAATTTCCATGAAGCACGCCAAGAGTTTCGTTTGGTTAGTATGGCAGGCGGTTTGACGCCGGTGGGGGAGGGCGATTTCTTATCGCCACCATTGTTGCTGCAACTGTTGCTGCTACTGCTGCTGCAGCTGCTGCAGCTGGTGCCCATTTTGGGAGCGGTACTGTAGTTGTGCAGCTTAAAAATCTTCAAATTTATGGAATATTTTGAGTCCTTTGCTGGCACTTTCATTTTGTTTTGGGCTTATGAATAGTTTTTGAAAATTATTTGCACTTAAATTTTCTACTTTTGGTAAGGAAAATAGCACAGTTGCTTTTTAAAAAAGCGGTGTGTAGAAAATAAAAATATCACAGCCAAAATTCTTAAAACTGGAATTTTTTGGGGCAATATTTAAAATTTGGTTTTGAATTTTTTAATTTAGATTACGATTTTTTGGTTTCAATTAAATTTTTTTGTTTAAGTTAAATTTTTTATATACTTTTAAACTTTTTACATTAATTAGTTAATAGCTGGAAAATTTATCGAAGCCACTAAATTTTCCTAGTGTTTTCTGTTAAAAAATGGCGAGTTTGGTAATTTTAAATTCAGTTTTTGAAATTTATATATTTTTATGTATTTCTTCCAGCGAAATGGATATTTTTATGCTTAGCTGTTATTTGTTATTTTTTTTTTTTGTGATGAAATTCACATTTTTTGCAATCAGTTATGTCTTTCCAGCGAAAAGGATATGTATTTGTTGCACAAGTTTTAGTTATTTTAATGTGTTCTTAGTTTTGACTTTAACTAAGCCAAAAAAAGGCTTATTCCGCTTGAGTTATTGGTGTTTAATAATAATTTTATTTTTTATTTTTTATTTTTAAATCTATTCAGTAACTACGATTTCTTTAGTTATATCTTTAATTCTCGTCTTTTTACCACAGACTTTCACAATTTTTTTTTAGTTTTTCCTCGTGAACTGTGTTATTCCAGCGTTTTTAAGCCACTTACATACACTCATTTGCATGATACTATTTATGTACATACGTTTGGGTAAGCACGCACGGTCTATCGTTTTCTTATTGTTTTCAATTTCTTTCACTCAAAATCACACCATTGGAAACACGCTTCGAGGCGCATACAGCAGAAATGGCTAATGGAAACGTAAAGATGACTGTTCGCGAGCGCGCCTGTTGAACGTATGAATGCGTTCCGATCATGGCATGTCTGGGTAAGCCGGGCACGCTAGAAGTACAGTACCATATATGTATATAAACAATCTAGGTACATAAGCGATATATAGAAATTGTATACGAACCTATGAACATTAGGGTGGGGAAATTTTTTTTTGACTATGCGCGTATAGCATAGCAGGATTCTACGTGTAATTCTAAGCAAATTTGCCGAAGAAACCATGGGTCTAAAATCAATTTGGAAAATAGATTTCAAAGAAAATGTGACAATTTTCACTGTTGCGCCCTCTGGTGGAAATTTTAGGAAAAAGATAAGTGCGGAAATGAATTCCAAAAAGACCAAAAGCCCCTTCTAGTATGTTTTTATACAAAATTTAAGCACATCTTTACGACTTTACAGCATAAACCTATTTTCGCAATTTGGCAAACTCCAAATTAATTTTAGAGCCCTAGTTTCTTCGGTACATTTGCTTAGAATTATACATAGAATCCATCTGTGCTATACGCTCATAGTCGAAAAAAATTTCCATACAAATTTATCCGCCCTAATGTGCATAGTATACATTTTTTAGGTTTTCAAATATTCAGGCTTAAAGTGCATGCAAATGTATGTAAATAGACGATAGATAAAGTCGAGTGAGATTAACCATACGTCGAAGGAGTGAGAGCAACGCGTCCAAAAAAAGTACTCGTGGTCAGGCGATGTTGTACCCAAGTTAATTTGCTCCGGACATTTGCACTGTTTATTGTATGTACTGCGGCTCTCTTCATAATACATTTATTTATGTTTATTTGTGCGCTAATATCAACGTACATATTTATTATGTATGTATGTAGTTATGCATGTTTGCTTTTCTACTTGCTCACCTTTGAGGTGATCAAGTTTTGGCAAAGTTGTTGTATAAACAACGAAAATGTTGGGAGTTAATGACACAAATGTGCACTGGTTTGTTTGAGCTTGAGTGATCTTTTCGTTGTTCCGAAATATGCAACGGCAGCGTAAACATTTACATATGTATGCATGTATCTAGAGAGGGTTAACGTTACTTTATGGTGCTTTCGTTTCTACAAAAAAAATGTCGACTTTTGATTTCGCCTTTCTCTTTTCGTGTTCGATTCTTAAATAAAAGCAAACCGGTGAGAAAATTCTGTGCTCGTTTTTTGAAATGGCACACTCTGTAAGGCACAAAAAAAACATAAGTATTCTCTGCCCTTTGAAGACTTTTTGGGGCGAGAGATTGTCCTGAATATTCAGATGGTTGCTTAGAACCACAATATATTGAAATGCGTGAGCTAAACAAGGATAAGTTTGGAAAAATATGCACTTTTTCTTAGAAACGAAAACACTATTAGTAAAAAAAAAAATATTAATATAAATAGCAAGGTGCAATTTTTTTAGTTTTTTTCAACATCGTGGTAGCTATCCAAAACAATGCTAATTGCAATAAGCAATCTTTCCGCTATAATAGTGGTTAAGTTAGGTTGAAGTGACTGCCATTGACGTCACAAGTATACCTGGGCCCTTAAATTGTTGGCTTGTTACCACGCTGATTGTTAGAACCCTCCTACTCAAACCATCGTGTGGATTTCGCGAAACCCAGAAGTTGTCGTATGCCTACCTCGGCAATGTCGGTTAAGTCTTTGCAAAATCCTGAACCCATGAACTTTCGTCTTCTTCTACAAAGCGCGAGGCATTCACATAACAGGTTTCTGGCTCTGCTTCATTTCAGTTCATCTGCCTTTATGTTGCCTGGTTCGTTCCGGTGCCCCCGCATCTATACCAAGTGAAGAGCAGACTTCTTTGCTATATCTTTATCTATATATATATCTGTATTCTTTAAGATTGCGGTGTAACACTCTTGAGTGTCTCTCCAGCCTTGTAAAAAATAGAGGATTTCTAGTTTGAAGCAAGACTTTCAAGTTATAGAACTGAATTCTGGGGTAATAGCTAAAAACTAACGGACGGAATAATAATAGATTGGCGCTTACACATATGTTAGTGTTTGGCCCAGCTTCTTCGCTTTATGGCATGCGCCTTGTCACCAAAAGAGGAGGGACCTACAGTTTTTACACCGACTCCGAACGGCGAGTGTATTTTTATGAGAAGCTGTTTTTCATGGCAGAAATACACTCGGAGGTTTGCCATTGCCTGCCGGGGGGGCGACCGACGTAAAGAAGACCTTTTTTCTACATTGTTTTGCGATGTTGCTTTGACCTGGGCATGAACCCAGGCCCTGCGGAGCGGAAGCGCGCACTGCTTACCACTACACCACAGCGGCCGCGGTAGATGGATAAAGGCAATTAGCGAAGTTGTTTAGCGACATGAGGTTGTAGCGCTTTAAGTACTTGTAAGAAGAAAAATGTAAGGCACAAAAGAGTGCTCTTTTCGAGCGGGAATATATTTTTGACATGTGATAGTTTGGGAGAGTGGATTCGTTACTGCCCCAGCTTCCAATTTGTTATCTTCATTATCTAAACGCTTTGTCGATGGCGACATGAATTTTTTGAACGTGGTAGCGACATCATGAATTTGTACGAGTTTGACATAAAAGAAGAGGAAGAACCTTATCTGTCGCTGGAAAAATAGAAATATGTAGATCGAATTTGGCCAAAGCTACAGTCGCAGTGTAGCTCTGTTGAAGCCAAAATAATTATCTAGATGAGAGTATTATGAGGGTTAAAATAATTTGACAGCTGTGGTCGGTAACCCGTCGTTTTCAAAAGGGTTCAGCACTGAAGACTTGCCAAAGACCCTTGCCACCGTTTGTCATACCTAGCTAGTGGAACAGGTTGAGACATCCTCTCTCCCAGACGGACTCCACTTTGATCGGTGAACTATCTGAGTGGACGACAGTCGCCATTACGTTTTTGAGGTGAAACTTCGACGCTAAGTACACTAAGTTAAACAGGGGGTACCCATATTTGAAAGTAAGCGGCTATCTCTACGATCCTTCTCGCTTCTAACCCTGCACTGAGCCATACCCTCTCCCTACATAATCAACGGCGACCCTTTACTCCGCCTGGATGAAAGAGATCAACAATTCGCATTAAGACAACCATGCCGACAGCACACCAATGCCGATGGTTAATAACCAGAGAATTGCTCTCCATCAGTGCACACTCACCTACAATTGTCACTAAAATACTGAGCCACAACAAGGTCCTTAAATCGCTCAACGGTAGCGCTTAGGTCAACGATAGAGAAACATTTTTGGCAACATATAGTGCAATTGGCCGACCGATTCTAAATTACGAGGATGAGTAGTACGCATTGAACGAAGGTGTCGATCTGTCGAAACCCTGTACTATCGAGAGCTACAGAATGTCTTCTGATTTCGGCTGAACACCGCCTACATATATAACGAGGCCTCTATGCTCTGGTAACTCCGGAAATGCGTGCTCTTGTCTGTGCAATGGAAATTTTTCCTCTGATCGAGTTGCGTACTGTAATCGGTGAGTGGCCAAAGTAAAATCGTCTTTGCTGAAAGACGCTTGGATGTCAAACAACAACAAAAAATAATGCATTAACGAATGATCGAACAGAGAAGAATCCATAGTTAAAAAAAAACAAGATAAGAGGAACTTAAAAATCTTTATTATTCATATTCTGGCTTGCATGCAATAGATTCAAGAGTGCACGTGCAAATCATTCATAAAAAATTCGCATTTCGTTCGCTTGCTGGCCATTAGAGGTTATCAACAGGATGCTCGCACGATGTACTTAGAGTAGGTGTGGAATCTACGTTTATATTTGTTGCTATGCCTGCAGAAGAATTATTAGCGTTAGAATTTCAAAGCTCTTGTGTGGCATTTTTGAATAATTAATTACACTGTGCAAAATTGTAATGGAAATTGTGTAGAAAATAGTTTTATTGCCGATTGAACTTAAAAAATCATAAACAACCACATTTTAATGCGTAAAATGAAGCGCGGGCCATCGCATAAAGAAGCAGCAAAGTCCAAAAAACGAAAATTACATTTTACTAGCTGCATTTGGTAGACAGTCTAGGAGTGATAAGAAGTTACATGGGTGGCGTAATATGACACATTGATCTGTGTGGGTTCGTGTGTGTGTGTGCAAAGCTTTT